GGCTTACTGCTTGACAGAACATCTTGGTGTAATCTTTAAGAAAGTACTGAAGATATTCTGTGATATGTCGAGGTAGGATCATCTCAGGCAGCCTCTCTTATCATGTGCCAATCCATGGTATCTGGAGGACCAGTTTCAACAGCTAACAGAAAGATATATGACTGCATTTTTGGAATCAATAAATAGTTTAAACTAAGGCTGGAAAGAGTAGAATGCTGGATTTAAACCAGACCATCTTTACCTTAACCTCCATCTCTGTTTGCCACCTTAACTAACACACATGATCATCGCTATGCAGGGATATAAACTTTGAAGTCAAATTTCACTAACTTCATTTGGCTGATTCGTCTACTTTTCACTGTTAATAAATCACTGCAAAGAGAGCGAAAATAATAATAAAAAAAACCTGTGAACTTTAATATTTTTTACAATGAATACTGTTTTATTTTATTGAGATCTTAAAAAATGGGTTCAGTAGTTCAATGAGTTCTGAATTTACGACCTGTAAACTGTAAAAAAGGAACAAAACACTTAAAAAGAAAATGAAATATAATGATTAAGGAACATTCTGAAGAGCTCTTTTTAAATCTGCAGAGTATATTTTACTTAATTTCTCACAGTTGGTTAATTTAGGCCTCTCTTCATCAAAGCAGTAAAAACAGCTACTAAATGTCTCCTTTGTTCTTTTGTTTTAGGTTATCGTAGGAAGTATTTTTGAGGTAATCTGGGACCTGATTAAACCGGGAGCATCGTTTGGGATCAGTGTGCTGAGGGCCTTAAGACTCCTAAGGATTTTTAAAGTCACCAAGTAAGTTTGTTTCAGTTTATCTACTGTTAAAACAATGTCTCTTCAACAAACTCTTAGTTTTTCATAGTTGGCATTTGACAGCTGAAGATTCTATTTGTACTTATTGTGCGTTTTGGATTTGCTTTAAAATTAAACGTAAGAACTTATTGTTTATACATGTTCCTCAGTATTAAAAATTATAAATAAAATATAAAAAAATCTTGACTGTTTAAAAAATCTTTAATCTTTTGTTTCTCGTCATTTTTCTTTGATCTTGTGTTCCTTTGCTCTCAGATACTGGAACTCGTTGAGAAATCTTGTTGTTTCCCTCCTCAACTCCATGAAGTCCATCATCAGCTTGCTCTTCCTTCTTTTCCTCTTCATCGTGGTCTTCGCTTTGCTTGGCATGCAGCTCTTCGGTGGACAGTGAGTAATATTTACAAAATGTCATCTTCTTCACGAATCTCCTTTCACTCTGTCTGAAACACACAAATCTCCAGTACAACCATCAGATATTCTCTTGTACCCAGCAGCCCTCCTTTGGCTGCTTATGATCGCCTGGACCGCATTGGCGGCGGAGGTGACAGCCAAGTCGCCTCAGCAGGGAGCTTGCTGAGCAGCAGCAGCACAGACTGCAGCCCTTTGAATATCACTCCCAGCAGGAGGTCCATGTCTTCTAATGACAGGAACACCTCCTGATCCTGAGCTGGCAGCGGATAATCAAAGACCTGGCATCTGGCCCACGTTCTGAATCAATTTACACACAAAGCTTTTATACAACAGCCCACATCACTGCTCTGACATTGTGATGTTAAAATGTCATCGTTTATATAGCAGCTTCCAGCTTTCTGTTGTCACTGCAAGAATTGCAGTCCTTCTTGATCTATGAGGTGTTCAGGAACAAGCGTCCAGATGTTTCTTGAGTGTATAATGGTATTTTTTGAGCCAAAGTTTGTTGTGAGGATGAACAGACGACATGCTTTCTTCAAGTTGTTCATTTTCTTGTACCTTGACAAAGTACTCATACATGTTTTTTCATTGTAAAATCAACCTTTGCTAAATGTCTCATGGCATTCTATTGTGACAGACAAAGCTATGTAAAATACATGTTGCAAATATTGCTTAAAGAAAGTATGTAAACACTGCTTGCAGGGAGCATCCAATCTACTCCCTATATTTCCTTATAGTATTTCTTAGTTTGACATGTTAATAACCGTTTGTTCATGAGGATAGAGGATGATCTTTTATTTCCGGCTGGTTCATCTGTGGTGTGGTCCTCCTAATAGTCAATAGTTCGGGTAATATATTTACTTAAAGGTATACTATGCAACCGGTGTTGATTTTCCAGTGAGGCTCCCCCCAGAGGGCGAAAGTAAAAGTGCACTGTCGTAAATATGCTCAGCTGTTCTCCTGGTTTCTCTGTCAAGCCAGGAGCAGTTGTTTTGAGCTTAGCAGACAGGCGAACGCAACGAATGACTAACACAGTGAAAGTATGAACATGCAGAGAGAGAGAGAAACCATTCC